TGTGGGCGTGACTGGCACCGGCCCGCTTGTGGAGCTTCTCAACCCCGAAATCGTTTGAGCACATTTTCGATTCGCCATCAACTTTGGTAAAACTTACAATATTCAAATCCTACACAGTTGACTCTCGCCTCAAAACCGCTCAGATGTGTATTTAATAAGTAAACGGCTACAAAACTTGTAAAAACAAAAAACCGTTCGGTTGTTCGCCTCTTTCACTTTCCGTTTCTCTCATGAATGCTTCTTCTTTGTGAGCAGTCTTACAGTCAAGCAGTCATGGCAGACCGTGGAAGCGATACTGCCCCGAGCACTTCCTGTAGTGCATTGCGGATAGAAATAATGAACCAGAAATGTTCCTAATACGAAGATTGCCATCTCTCCCTTAAACAGCATCTATGTAAAGATGCGTCGACAATGAAATTTCACGTTGATTAATTTTATAGTCGACGTCGTTGATTACTTCAACTAATCGTTGCAGCCCTAGTTGCATTACTCACATTTTCATTCACTGTAAAACCAATGTATCATGAAACTTTTGTTTCGAGTCCCTGAGGTCAACACAAGTTCTCTGAATATAAACAATTTCAGCCAATTCATTTGGCTGCCAGTCTAACTTTAGACAAAATCATTTTTCTCCTACCTTTTCTGAACAATTCTAATCTTCATCATATGCTAAAGCAATCTTTGGATTGGCTTTATTCAAAACTATTAACAGACGTTATTGATATAATGATTTGGATTCTCCCACCAAAGTTTGGAGTTGGTGGCTAAGAGATACTGAAAGGAAATGAGTCCCGCAGATCTTGCCAGATCACGGTCAGTATCGCAAAGTGGATACATAACACCTGTGTGCAAATTCTAAACCATTCTTTTAGTGCTCCATCAGGCCAAAGTTAATTCAGTTTTTGAAAATGTTGTAGTCTCCAGGTGAGCCAATTATTCAAATGGATTGATTTGAATTACAACAGGAAAATGACTCAAAAAAAAAAATGTTCTGATCCCTCACTGTTCAAAGAAGTAGTGCTATTTTACTATCATTATACACAGTCAGAAAAACCTGCACTAAAACATGTAAACAGTTTTTAGACATGGTAAGGCCGGATGAAGTGGAATGATGCTAACAACAGGAAACAGATTGCCTACACCTACATATGATATGTTGTATCTCAACTAAATCACAGTCCCATCTTAAAATCTTTGGTCATGATAATAATACATTAAAATTCTCCCCACAGAGCAGCTGAACTCTGTAACCTGTACATATACTCACTTTTAGACAATCGGGCATCTAAATTTAGAGTGTGTGTTCAGGTCTGTTGCATTGTGTATGACTGATGATGACAGCTGAAGCACAGAGGTGTCAGGTCAGTCTACAGCCTGGAGAAACACAAGTAGTATAAAACTTTTCTCCTCCTGATCTCCACTCACCTAAAGGGCTTCTATACAGGCCAGTGGCAAGGTGACTTTCAAATAAAGTCATTAATGTCCTTCTTTGACTAAGTGCATTAATGGGGCTATAGAGGGGCTTGAACATTTGCAGAGAGGTTGATTGATGAAAGCTAAAATTTCCTGCTAACCTTATACCTTTGTTGGCCCTCAAGCAAGGTGACAGAAAAATAAATGCTACCAAAGCTACCTTTACACAAGGTACATAAAGCAGTAACTCATAATTCTACAGGTAGTCACAGAAATTTGATCCAGTCATTCTAATAATTTCCATAATTTTTTCCTCACGTATCTTTAATTCCTATATTTCAGCTCATTACTTTTCAGTCAGAGCACATGCATTGGTTGTCATCACTTCAAAGTCAATAATCAGTTTTGCAGTTTTAAATATATTGCATCACCATCACAAGCGTAAGACTCAGACTTATTGCTGTATTTTCACTTTGAAATGAGTCGTGATGACATACTCAAATCTTTGCAAAAACTCTTGCCATAATAAGCAGCAGTCCCAATGCTCCCTACTTTCATTTGGTCCAATTTAGGAGACTCATGGTGCCACGAGCTGCAAAATCCTTGCAGTACTTCCTGCAGACTTGCGCAACAGGAAGGGTAAATAATGAAGCCGTTGAAGCATCAACGGCTGTTTTCACAATTAATCTGAAGCAACTAGCACCCTGATAAAATAAAATACAAGCTGCCTGCAACCAAAGAATGACTCATTAGAATGGAAGGCTTGCAAAATCTGCTGGAATAATTTTAACTGTCTGTGCATGCTGTTTGTATCTGGTGTGACCCAAAGTTCAACAAACCTGAGATGTGGGTGGCCTTGAGCCGTGACATGGTGGTGAAATTTAAAGAACCAGTCATAGTGGTTATGGGTCTCTGATAAGCCAGCTGAATTCCTAGCACTGTGTAGCTCAACGAGAGGACTCAGCGTGACACCGCAGCCAGAGAAAGCTCTTGATATCTACGCCTGTGTTCATGATGTGGTGTTTGGACTCGGGGGCCTTAGAACACCAGGGGCTTATCAATAAGTAACCTTCACACAGCAGTCATCCTATATGTAAAATAATTTATGTGTATCTTTCATTAGCTAGACAGGTGTTTGAGACTTGTCTAGGGCTCTGTGAAGCCTAACAGTCCCAAGCTGTGTCTGAGATGGAACTGACACGCTCATCTCGGTGCAAGGCTAGAGCCCTGCTCACATGCTTCAAATACAAAGCAGGTGGTCCCTTACCTGCCACATTAGAGACAAGATCTGACATGGTAATGAAAATGGATAACACTACATGACCCCTAAGCAGGCCTAGTTTTAGGGGACAATCCAACAGTGAGCAGATACCATGGCGATATGAGTTGTAGATCATTATCACTGTCTGCTTGTAAGTACAAAAACACCACACTCACTTAAAAAAAATAAATCCAGCGGGCAATCTGACATGAGGTGGGGAATTGTGTCATTTTGTGAGCCAGATGCCCTTCAATCTAGAAATGAGCCTACAGGATCCTTCCAGATCTAAATAAACGATTACAAAAACCAGCACTGCGTTATTATAACTTGAACATTTTGTTGTTGATCAATCATAATGCAATTTTTTTTTATGTGCACCCCTTCAAATTTAGTACAGTCTGTTTATCAGGTTAAAATCAGAAGTCACAGCACTTAAAATGACACAAAAATGTATTAATATAAAGTGAAGTTTAAAAAATATAGCATGAGACTGCACAGTCTATTGATTTACAGAGAATGTCTGTTTACTTTAGGAGATTAGTCAAGAACTAAGGTCAATGCATTTACCACTGAAGGACACATGCTGGTGGTTCCTTTCGGGTCCCTGTAAGGTCCTGCACGTATTTAAGCACATTTGAATTTAAACTCAGATTTGTTTCAGTGTTCACAATGTGCAAATATTCCCTCAATAATTTCCTGTAAATATTCACTGTATAAGTTTGGCATCCTTTGGGTGATAAAAGTAAACAGAAGTGACAGAGATTAAACAGGCCTAAGGGTCGCTGAATTGACTACTTAGCAAAAGGGATGTTTACAAACTTCAGTTAATTAAACTTGATTCTATTAAAAAAGGTTTTGTATGTTTTTCTCTCCTGCGTGCGTATGCTGTATATTTAAATGTAATCGTGGCATGTAAATATGTTTGGTTTGCTCACATCTCTGTCTATATAATGCTGTCAAAATTATGTTACAGGATACAGGACAATTTGCCAAAACATTTGAAGAACAAATCCTATATATATAAAAAATCAGGTACTTCGCAGTCCAAGAAAAGATCACAAAGGTGATATATTTATATCTCAAAGACAGCTGTTAAGACATCTTATAGTGAGCCAACAAGGCTGCTATATTATTTTATCACTATTATTATTACTATTAATTTATCAGAACGCTCTGCTTTGGTTTGTGCATTACTGGCATAAATATATGACTCAATGAAGAAGGTGCATTAGGCAAAAAAATTCTAGTCTGGTGATGCAATCTACTTCTGTGTTTAGTTGGACATCATCATACTTTGCAACTGCAGGAAAAAAAAAAGTGATTGGAACTTGTGCTGGACATAATCCCAAATTAATAAATGCACTAGCCCAAAGACACTGCACAATCACCAGCATCTCACACACACACACACACACACACACACACACACACACAGTCAGCTACTTAAGACTTTCGCCCTAGTAATTCATTTGTATGGAAGCCAAATCGAAGCTGAAGGGAGAAACCATGCAGCATGAGTGCAGCATAAAGTCAATTAATGTCTGAGAGGGTATTTGTTTTGCAGAGCCTGTCACACTGCAAAAACCAAACCAATCAGCTACGGTACAGCATGTGCTCCGAGTTGGATGTGTCCAACTCTGGATTTTAATCCACTTTTAAAAACACATTTGAGGATAGCTGATGCCTCGATAGCAACCACACACAATTACAAGGAAAACTCATTACAAACGAACTTATAATGAGGACCAAGGCCTGCAGAAGGCAATGGCTGCTGTGATGCTGGACAACAGTGACGCACCGGCTATACAGCAGCATGAAAAACAACCAGCGAGAATCAGACCGCGTTTCAGCCCGAAGCACCACCTCAGGACACAACGTGGACGTCAGCTGACTAAGAAACGCATGCCTTGTCTTGAACTGTCAAACAAGAGGAAGTTTAGCCAACTTCAACTTACTCTTCAGCAACTTGTCACAGAAAATAAGAAGACTTTCTGGCAGCGGTTCATTAATTTTGCATAAGCTCAACATCGTCTAAACGCATGTTATTATATTATTCCGCAGGCTGGAAAAGGGGGAGACGAGCAGGCTAGCCTATCTGCTGAGCATGACAGGGAAACACAGCTCTATACGACCTCTGCTCATTCAAAATGTCAAACCTGAATCAGAAGGTGACTCTGGTGTGTTGCAAACACCTCTTTCTATCTGGTAGCTGTGCATTTGTATTTCAAGGCACGGACGCCAGTGTAAACCTGGCTTCTGCTCGCTTCACCTGGGACTGATTTTGGCGTCAAGCTGTGCACCAAATCGACGTTTAAGCCATGTTTACCTCCTCCTGAAGTCCTTCTCGTACCCTTTAAGATAGGGATCCATTTGTAGAAGACAGCTGAACTCAGGAATTGTTACACTATCCTCTGAGTCGGCCATGGTTTCTTCAGACGAAACCAATCGAGCACCGATTACTGCCGTTCGCTTGCACTGTTATGAACAGACGTGTACTGCGTGCGAGCTTTCACTCTCCGGAGACAACAACGAGTCAGGCGGCTCTCTGCCAAGCCCGTCCCTTCTCAACGTGCTGCTTCCAGCATGTTGTTACATGCATTACGAGAGCCGAGCCGTGCGGTGCCGTGATACAGTGTAACTTTAAGATGACAGCCGAGGAACACAAGCGCGTCAGAGGACGATGACTCTGTAGTCTTTGAGAAAGAAATTGAACTTTATTTTAGAACAATTCGTTTCTCTTCCAACAAAAAAGGCTCTGAAGGTACTTAATGTTTGTACTCGTTTGAAGGTCCTCCTGTGATATTCTTTTTTTTTTCGTTGTTGTAGTCCCCCTAGCTATATGTACCTTTGTATCTCTTGTGTGTTTTCTGCATCCTTTTATTTTGTCATGGTAATAGTTTTCTACTAATAAAGAGAGAGAGAAAAAAGGAGGATGACTCTGGATTTGTATGCAGAGTGATGTGCAGTTTTGTAGGCTGTGTGCTTGACTTTTGATGTTGTGAAGAAGTGCACCTGCTAAAACATCACAGTAATGCAGTGAGAGGAACATGTATCACGTCTTAATGACTTAAAAGCAGAACTCAATATTAGCCGAGAATAATTTGTCCTTGGTTGACATCATCTGACAACTGACCACACTATGATGGCATTTTGTATGGGTATTCGTTGTCATAAAATATGACCTCTAAGGAGTCTGGTGATCCTGTGACCTTTATTTTAGAAAATGTATGACATATGATGTAACTACTGGCCACTTTGCCATTAATTTAGGTACAGGCATTCATGGAGGATGGTGTCTAATAATTTTGGTGACCTCGTGATCTTTTGTCGAGAAGCAGGTGCAGGCCAATGTCAGGTCAAAATTCCTCTTCAGCAACGTATTATCTTGCAAATTATTGGCTAGAATTATGTAAAATTGGGTTTAAATATTTACAATCCCTAGAGTAGATTTTTTTTTATCCCCAGACTCATTTCTAGTGCCATGATCAGGCTACAATTACCTTTTTTAAAATAAAAAATCTATATTGAACTGATTTATTTTTTGTGAAATTGGCTGATTACATTCATTCCCCACAGAGGACGGTCACTTCTTATTTTGGACACTAATGTCTTTCACATACCAAAATTTAAACTTCACACACTAGGCAGTCCATGGAGCAGATTACAATTAAAATGGCTGCACCGTAATGCTCCTTCATGCAAGGGGAACATGAACCCTTTTGATTTAATGACCCTTTGGCTGTTCATCTTGTGCATCACTCAGGAGGTTTTAGTCCATCTACTGTTACTAAAAATAAAAAATTCTCAGTTTGTTGTTGTACTGTCCAACTTTTTCATAATGTGAGGTGTAATGAACAGTGCAGCCTCTCGGGGCCACTACTGGGGCTTTAGGCCTTTAGTCTTGTACGTTTTTGAGTTGCTGTCATTATTTTTGTGAAAGTCATTTGTCAGTGACATTTACCCAGTGTAAGTTGAAAATGAAACGTGTGGCTTTGTACAAATCAAGCCTTACAGGTAAACCTTTTACACTTTTATACTTGAACATAAATTAATGAATTTGTCTATACAAACATTTGTTGTATGCTTTGTGTACAATGGTGAAACTGAATCTCAACTAGAGCAAACTGCATTGATTTAAATAGCTTATTATTCAGTCCAAAAGTACTTTGGTACAGTACATGAACAGAAACAGACGTCATGAAGCAAGATCTCATTGATTTGGGCAAAGTTTAATTTGGATAAAGTTTATTCAGTGTCAAGGCCTGCTGTCACATAACTGGATGAAGCTGCCTCTAGCACAGAAACAAACTCCAAGGCACACAGCAGCATCAGTGTTTGTGTGCGTGTGAAGGAGGGTGAGGGGATTGCCTGTTAAGACTGCTAATCCATTTTAATTCTGCAAATGTGTGTTTTTCTCTACACATTCAGCATCCACCTTACATGTACATCCTTTTTTTCTTTTAATCTGTATGTGTATTTATAAAATGCACTGCTCACACTGTTTTGATCTTATTGTCTGTGCCCTCAATATGTTTTACCACAAACTACTTCACAGAAGTGGCAGAACTAACTAAATTGACTTGAGAAGGATAACCTTGCTATAATTTAGATTAAATCCCTCTTGGAAACGGCTGATAAATATGCATGGCGACTGAAGAAATAGTGCGGCTCTTGAAATTGTTGTCCTTGTCACAAAATAAAACCGTCCCAGCAAAAGGTCACAAAGGGAGTGTCATTCTAAAGAGCCATCTGTTGGTAATAGATGAAACAAGTGTGTTACTGTCCACCCCAGAAGGTTATGCCAATAAATGTTGTCTCTGTGATTCACAGCTAAATAACAAATATTTACAGGGGTATGTGGAAAGACACAGTATCCAATGACAACACCACACACAAATATTAGATTTTAGGATGTTAACTTGATGAGCTGAAGTGAGAAGTTGATTGATCCTATCCAAGCAATGTGGCAAAATGAGCACAACTGTAATGTATATTCTGTAGGCAGTCTGTAGGATTTAGTTTAACGATTTTCTCAGCTGTAATGAATGACATAGAGATGTTCTGCATGTAAAATCGTAATAGAAAAAGAGATTTTTGTTTTCCCACCAGAGGTCACAGACAGAACTACTATGAAGCAAGAAGCAAACATAAATCACCTATTTGGTAGATTAGTACTCTGTCCCTAAAAGTTTATGTCACTCTGAAGAGACTATGGGTTACTATATTTGCCACCAAAGATCTAAAAAAAAGTAATTCAACTCTACACCACGATACAGCTTCCCATTTCATAAAACTGATCATGTTGCACAAAGTCAATATAGGGCTAAATAACACTTCACTAATGATACAGATCCTGTGACTGCACAGTCTAATCAACTAATCTGACAGCAGCTTTAGTAAAGTATCCTACACCAGTCCTCCTGTAACATACAACAAATTACACAGATTAGACAAAATAACTAAAGCGCTTCATGAATATTACAATCTCTGCTACAAACATGAGTTATATAAGGTTGAATGTGACATTTGTTAGCTATGAAAGAGGTCAAGCAAACTGATCTTTATGTGATTCTCTAACACATTAGCTAACAGAGCTCCAAAGTAAAAACACTGCAAAATTATTTAACATGTTAACAGTCTAAAAAAATGACACAGAAAATATGACTCACACAATGTGACTGTATCACATTAGGCATTAGGAGTTGACAAATGATGTTACTTGGCATGTGACTTATATAAGCCCACTTTGTATCAGAATTTACAGTGTTGTTGCTTTGGGTTTATTGATTTTTGTGTTTATTGTTGTGGTCACACTGGCCTCACCCCCTCAGGTGTTTTTCTGGATGTTTTTGTTGATATTTTGTCCTGAAAACGCTTTGTCAAAGATGGCTTGTGGGCATGTAAGCATGTAACTCCTCCACATCAGACAGACAGAACCACACTGAAAATGGCAGATTTAAAGTTTTGCATAAAAACATTATGAAAATATATAAAACAAATCACAACCTACGATAGCATTATGATTTCTGAGCAAACCACGCTTCCATTGCTCTCATCCTATTCACCCAAATTTCACCCCAGCAAAATCTTGTTTCCTTTCCCCAAGACACCACGGTTACAACCCTGGGTGGCTCTAATTTATTCATTCCGAAGAATTCAAATAATGTTGATGATGATGAAGTTTTGAGCATTCCCTCCCTGTGGTGCTGAACTGTATGTCCCACTGCAGAATCCTCTTTTAGTTGGAAAGATGATAGATGCAACACACAATTGAAATGCCAGTTTTGACTGCCAGTGTGACACAAACAGTGTGACAGAAGTTGACACAAACAAGCTTTTCACTGAACTAAATTGATATGAGTATACAAGCATGCAACACTGATATCATGTGTAATGAAAAAATACAATTAGTCTCCAATACCTGTAATTATTCAGTGATGTATTATAATGCATCCAAGCTGAGAAAATTACTTCCCAGAGTGTTCAACCTCCATGAGACACCTCTAAGGCAAAAAATTATAGCTGCTGGAAGCTCGACGATTGAGCAAGGAAGTCAGTGAATATTAAAACTGTAACAATTTTTTTTATAAGAAACAAGAGTACAGAATCTTTTTGCAAATCAAGGCTGTGAGTTAGATTACTTTACCCTAAAAGAGGTGGCTCCAACATATGATTGCATGTATTAATGTGGAGCAGGGTAAAGCCGAAAAAGAGCGTGTCCTCTCCGCAGGAATTCTGGATAAATCTAAAGGTTAAAAGGGAAAAAATCTTTAAAGCATTAAAAACATCATTTGACACATTTTCTGACTAGCAATGTAGTAGAAGTTTGAGAAAATCTTGAACTTGTGACATGAAAAAGTTGCTGCACCTCTTTGTTCCGTATTTTTGTTTGAAAAAGTCAGCAAGAGAAATGTTTGATTCATTTTGAAAAATGCTATTCATGTATCATTCACAGACAATGGCGCTATTTACATATAAGTAAAGAAAAACGGCTTTTCAAAATATCTTCACAAATGAGAAGTTGACAGTTTGATGTGGAAATGAAATGCTAAATCATGAACAATGTTTCTGAGGGCCATGCCAGGAAACTATAATAGGCAAGTAAATGAGCATAGCAAATAAAAAGACAGATAATCTCCATATTATTTCAAAATTAGATAACAGTTATATTGTAACACCCTGATATTTTTAAGATAAAATATCTCAACAGATAGCAGAAAAAAGGGGGAAGTATAGCTAAAAACATTCCTTTTTTTTATAAAAAACTTTTTTATATGTCATGGCCAAATGGTAAGGCAAAGAGGACATATTAGTTCAATGTAAATACAGATAAATAGTGGACACCTCAATCTTTACTTTTAATCCATATTTGCAGCCAATTTGATTTCCTTACACAAGCATATAGGATTGTGTGATTCTGTATGTCCAGTACTTGATTAAACATTAAGATGATGTATTTTTGGTTCGGGAACTACACAACCATTTTCATGGAAATGAGTGTGTGTGGACACTGTGTCAACGCAGTCT